CAAGTTCACTAGACAGACCCATTAGAGGATTCCATATGGATGGTAACCTCAGTGTCTATGGAATAAATCCTTTAATGGATGGTGGTGCATATGATCCTTAGACTTGAGATCACCAGAGCGCCTTGTGTACTAATTGGTGTAGTTTGACACTAGCCCAACATAGTCCTATTCAGGACTATCAGAAGGTAGTGATTTGCTACATTGAGAAGTGTATCAAGACTATGGTAGATCGACAAAGGATTCATCACGCTCAGGTATGGGAGAAGTTATCTCACCAAACAATTCAGTAAATGACAATGACACTAAAATCTGTGGCCACAGTGGGATTGAGTTGTTACTCAATCCAATTCATTATTCCAGTCATTGGTCCAGTAACTGAATACAAAGATTTCGAGAATACCTGAGGTTGACACTATTTCTGGACCTTAGCCTTGATGGGATAACGAATGTTGAAAGGATTTGACTGCACGATAACCATATTGTTGATAGGTAGCTATTTCATTGAATCTGAATCTATCGGGTGGCCATGATGCCTTGCTAAGGGCCAATCTTGGTCTATGTGAAGTGAGATTGATGTCAATCGTGATACTATTCACTACCGATATGATAAGAAGCCTACGAGTCACATACGTAGAAGATAATTTAAGAATCAGTTTGTGAAAAGGGTATTTTTGTCTTTAAGATGAAATAGTATTTTGGTAATCTCATAGTACAATTAAATTTGCCAAGGTTGTTGCTTGTATTCAATTTTAATATTGAAATTAAAATTAGTGAGATTATATTTAAATATATATGCTCATATATTTAAATGGATTATTATTGTTAATTAAATATTAATATATTAATTGATTTTATTAATAATAATAATTTATTAAATTTAAAATATCATTAAAGGGTGTTTGGTTGCAAGGGTGGATTAGGGTTGGAGCCCATGGCTATTCCTAAGTAAAATATGGTTTTAATTAGTTGCACTATATAAGTGCAACTTAAATTAAAACAAGATAACAGTCATTCAATTAATAAAAACCCTAGCCACCCACCTCTCCCTTTCACGTTTTTCATAGATTGAATCAAAGAATTTTCTTCTTTGATTTTTTTGGATTCTTGAAGCCTTTGATTATTCTAGCAAAATAATACAAAGGTTCCACGAATTGTCTTCGTGTGGACAACGTGAGTGCGATTCTATATTGAATCGGGAAGTAAGATCAAAATCAGAGATATTGAAGGAGCCTCCAAACGTCGGTAACGTATTCTATATCCATGTATGGATTTGGTTTTTACGCATATTTTATTTTTAACATGTAAACGATATAATCTATACTCAGACCTTGGCAAAAAGGTAATTGATTTTCTGGTTTAATTTTTGTTTTCCTGCTGCATATGATTGATCAATTACTTACATGCCTCTCCTGGAGAAGGATCCATCCTCTTATCAAGTACTCTCACATTAAATACAGTCCTTGTTGTTCCATCCCTTGAATATAACCTATTATTTGTTAGCAAAATCACCTCCACTCTTGCTTGCATTGTAACTTTTTGGCCCTCTTTTTGTGTCTTTCAGGACATTCTAACTTGGAAGATTCTTGCTTATAGTGTTAAATGGGGCAAACTCTATTACTTGGATTTCACAGAGAATGGGGGATAGAAATTTAGTCAGGCATACCAAACTCGTAGTGAAGAAAAATCTCGAGCAACCATATGGTTATGGCATCGAAGATTGGGACATCTTTCTTTTGGATATTTAAAAAATTACAACCACACCTTTTTTCAATTATGAATGATTCAGACTTTCATTGTAATATTTGTGAACTAGCCAAAAGCCATCGTATTCCTTATCTACCAAGTTTGAATAAAAGTTCAAAACCTTTTGCGGTTATACACTCGAATGTTCGGGGTCCTGCAAAAATTCCTTCTATTTCTAAAGCTCGTTACTTTATTACATTTACTAATAAATGTACTAGAATGACTTGGGTTTCTCTACTTCACAAAAAGAGTGATGTTTGTATAGCATTTCAAGAATTTTATAATATGGTGGGCATTCAATATCAGCAGCAGATTCGGGTTTGGCAATATGACAATGTGATGGAGTTCATAAATATGTCCGTTGGAAAGCTTATAAGCCAAAATGGGATTCGACATCAGACTTCTTGCATCTATACTCCACAACATAATGGCTTGGGAGAGAGGAAGAATAGATAGATAACAGAGGTGGTTCATGCCTTCTTGTTTGGCATGAACATACCTTGGTTCTATTGGGGAGAAGCTATGAAATCTACTGTCTACCTAATCAATCAGACACCTTCCTGAGTGATAGAGTTTCAAACTCCTCAACAAAAGCTCCCCAATCTTGAACTAGCAGTCTTTGGTTGTACGGTATATGTGTAAATTCCCAAGACTTTGCAAAATAAACTTGATCCATGTGCAAAATGATGTATCTTTGTAGGCTATTCAAATTTTCAGAAGGGATATAAGTGCAATGATCCTCAAACCCAGATGTTACATGTGACCTTGGACACCTTTTTTCGTAAATCAGAACCTTATTATCCAGGTACAGTCTCTATGCCTTCTCTTTATGGGGAGAACTCAAGTGAAGAGAATGTGTTACAAGAAGGAAACAAAGGAGATGAATTTTTAGAGCTAGAAGAAATGAATGAATGGTTTGGAAGAAGTGGTCAACAAAACTTTGATAATATTTCTGAGATTGAGAATGCGGTGTTGGCTCCTTCGGATAATAATTCAAAATCGAATAATACTACACCAACAACCCTCCCTCACATAATTCTCTCACAACCCTGACGTGGCAGTTTGCAATTGGTCAGTTCACAATGGGTCCCGCATGGGTCCCACTAATTAATTGCGATCTGACCAATTGCGAGCTGTCACATCAGAGTTGTGAGAGAAAGTTTGTGAGAAAGGGTTGTTGGTGTAGTATTACTCTTCAGAATCACCAATAACTACAAAGTTGCCCATGTTAACACCATTAATTAAAGAATCAACCCAGAATGCTTCTCCTCAGGTAATTTTGAGTCCTATATCTAATAAGTCTCCAAAAAATTTGGCTCCAAGATATCCACAAAGATTGAATAAGGGTGTCCCAAAGAAACAATATGAACTTGATCCTAAAGCGAATGTTAAATATCCAATCAATAATTAGGTCTCCACTCATAGACTCTCTGAATCGTATACACTTACTATTAATCAATTATCCAATCTATCTATTCCTAGTAGTGTGTAGGATGCATTGGTAGATCCAAAATGGACAAAGGCAATGAACGAAGAAATGAGGGCTTTGCAAAAGAGTTCTACGTGGGAACTTGTGTCATTAACCAAAGAAAAAAAGACGATCAGATGTAGATGGGTGTTCTCTATGAAACTTAGAGCAGATGGAAGCATTGACAGATATAAAGCTAGATTAATTGCAAATGGGTATACACAAAAGTCTGGCGTGTATTACTAAGAGACTTTTGCACCAGTAACTAAGCTCAACACAATTCGCATTCTCATATCTATAGTAGCAAATCGGGAGTGGCCTCTGCAACAATTTGATGTTAAGAATGTTTTTTCTCAATGGAGATTTAGAGGAGGAAGTCTACATGGAGTTGCCACTAGGAGTTAAACATAGTTCTTCGTGTGAAAATAAAGTTTGTAAATTGAAGAAATCATTGTGTGGGCTCAAATAGTCACCTAGAGCTTGGTTTGGGAGGTTCTCTTTTTCAATGAAGACATTCGATTATAAGCAGAGCAATTCAGATCATACTTTGTTTAAAAAACACAAAGAAGGGAAGGTAACAACTTTAATTGTGTATGTTGATATGGTCTTGACTGGAGACGATCCATGTGTAATGAAGTCATTATAGGAATATTTAGCTACTGAGTTTGAAATGAAGGAACTAGGGAAACTTAAATATTTCTTAGGAATTAAAATAGCAAGATCAAAACAAGGAATTTTTCTTTCACAACAGAAATATGTGCTAGATTTATTGATTGAAACTTGAATGCTTGCTTGCAAACCAATAGAAACTCCTATAGAAATCAATCATAGGCTTGGAATTTTTCCAAACTAGGTCCCAACAGCCATGGGTTGCTATCAGTGGTTGGTTGGGAGCTTAATTCATTTGTCACACATGAAGCTTGATATAGCCTATGCTGTGAGCATCATATGCTAGTTCATGCATGCACCAATTGATAAGCACAAGAATGCAGTATATTGAATATTGAGATACTTGAAAGGTGCTCCGGGCAAAGGTTTATTATTTTTGGTGTCTCTAACATTGAAGGATACACGGATGCTGATTGGGCAGGTGATCAAACAACCAGAAGGTCCACGTCTAGTTATTTTACTTTCGTGGAGGGTAATCTTGTTACTTGGAGAAGTAAGAAGCAAAAGGTTGTGTCGCGATCAAGTGCAGAAGCTGAATTCCAAGGTATGGCTCATGGTGTATGTGAATTGTTATGGATTAGGAGTGTTCTAAAAGATTTGGGGATTGACTATGCAAAACCCATGAATCTTCATAGTGATAATAAAGCCGCTATAGAGATTGCACAGAATCCTGTACAACATGACCACACTAAACATGTTGAGGTTGATCATCACTTCATCAAAGAGAAGTTAGATCAAAAGATTATATAGTTTCCATTCACCACGTCACAAAACCAGTTAGCTGACATACTCATAAGAGCAATTTTAGGGAAGGTATTCATAATATAATCGACAAGTTAGGCATGATAGATATCTATGCTCCAACTTGAGGGGGAGTGTTGACATGAGTTGTCTGTGTGTTGTAAGATTGATTTCGTAATTATAGGAATCTGGTTAGGTAGAAAATCTTGTATATTAAATATAGGAATATTTAGTTTCCTTAGAATAGGATTGTTTCCTACTTTCACAATGTAATTGAATCTATAAATTTCGTCCAAGTTGAAGAATATACAATATACATAAAATCATTCAGAGACTCCATTGTTTGACAATATAAATTTCCCAGATTTCTCTAATCTGCCAAAAACATATTTAACAGCACATTTGCAAATTCCCAAATTACTTTAATCTGCCAAAAACACAGTTAATAACACATCTGCAAAAACAAATGTAACACAATCAACCTTTGTAAAATCCACATTTCCTATATTTCTCCAAATTGCCAAATTGCCAATACACATTCAATCTGCATTACTCCTCTACACGTACTACACTCTACTGCTCGATTCAGTATCTATTCAACTCAACAAATTCTGCAAAAACATATGTAACACAATTAACCTTTGCAAAATCCAAATTTCCCAGATTTCTCCAAACTACCAATTTGCCAACATACATTCAATCTGCACCCCCTTAAACTGAAACTCCTTTACTTGTTGAACATTTTTGCTTCTTCAAAATTAAAGGTTACAAAACTCATATGCATCCTCTACAACTTCCTAATCCTTTACTTTGTAACATCTAGATCTCCCATATTTCTCCAATCTGCCAAAAACATATTTAACATCACATCTGCAAATTCCCAAATTACTTCAATATGCCAAAAACACAATAAGTAACACATCTGCAAAAACCATGTAACACAATCAACCTTTGTAACATCCAGATTTCTTCTCACCTTTCTTCTTGTTATTTTCATCTGAAGCCTGTAATGCAATTGACAGAGAAAGCCAGCGCGATCATTTTGGAATAGCTTCACCTGTCACACATCATAATCATGATTGTAAGGCCTCCTCTACATATAAACACGAAGAAAAATAAATGAATTATTGTTTAGAGATTCCAGTATCTCCTGGATAGTCACTTGACATATTACACTTATGGATATAAAGCCATCTAGAATATATAAAGAAACCTACATGAAAAGGAGGAGCATAACTTCCATGGGTTTCAGTAGTTGGAAATGAAGTCTCGGAACCTGACTTTACAACCTTCACTCTTTTTCTATTAATTTCTAGAATTCTTCTCTCAAGACTACCCTCTCCAAGAACTTGCAAAATTAAGAAATTGTGAAGATATGGTGTTTACAATTTTTTCAACAGTAATTCCTAGATTACAATTAAAATATTGGCCAATAAAGCACGTGGATCTTTAGCAATATCCTTGTTATTGTCCCCCTTCATTATATTGTGAACCGTACCCAAGCAAAAGTCAATTTAGATCTCATAGCACATTAACATACATACAAATAGTAACTAAATCGAGAAAAAAAAAATGCCCAAATAAGGAGTTCAAATATAAAAGACAAGAGATTGAATCAATAATAGATAAATTAAATATTAAGTAGCTTTAACACATAGAAAAATAGTAAGTGTCTACATAGGACTAACATAAAGTCTTCATGCCTTTGAAAATAAGGTGATCTTGTTAGGCACACACCTCATGAATCTAGTTTCTCTTTGCAATGCTTTTACTTCTTCAGCAACACGAAGGAATCAACATTGATAGATTGAATGGAGTAGCCATAGCCTATTGGTACTTTTGCTGAAAGAACGCATGAATTTGGAAGATGAAAATTGTAACACATAATCAAAAACAAAAGCAATAACAGACGGTGATTATGAAGATACAAAGATAATAAACAGTTTGTTGTGAACATTGTTCATTTGATAAGGAGATTGTATTAGATTAATTGTTCATGATTTATTGAATTGGGCATGGGGTAACAAAAGGGGAATTAATGAAACAATAAAATCAAGAAAAGCATCAAAGCAAAGTAATTTTACCCTATTGCAAATTTGGGAAGACAGTGGAGTAAGGAAAGGAAGAAAAAGGTTCGTTGTTTTGTTCGGAGTATAGCTTTCATGGTTGAGGAGATGAAGAATGAGTAGAGAATGAAAATGGAGAAAAAGTAATTGAAACATATAGATATTTAATCTGAATGTGAAGGATTTGTATTAATGAAAATGTGAAGGATTTTTATTAATGGGAACGTGAAGGGTTTGTATTAATAGGAATGTGAAAGGATTAAAAACATCCACCAACCAACTACATTAAGCCACATCTAATAAAAAATCATACACATCTACATATCTCACATCATCACCACATGTAAACAAATGTACATATCTCACATTATTGCCAATCATCCAACATGTCAAAATCTAGCAAATTTACATCTTAAAAAATCCTACAAGTCAATCAAACAGGCCATGCTTTAGGATTATATTAGAAAGTAGTTGAAACGTATAAATATTTAATATGAATGTGAAAGATTTGCATTAATGGGAATGTGAAGGGTTTGTATTAATGGGAATGTGAAGGGATTAAACACATCCACCAACCAATTATATTAAGCCACATGTAATATAAAAATCCCACACATCCACATATCTCACATCATCACCAATGACATGCAACCAAATGTACATATTTCACATCATCACCAATCACATATAGCTACGTGTTGACCAATCATCCAACATGTCAAAATCCAGCAAATTTAGAGCTTCAAAAATCCTATATGTCAATTGATAGACTTATAATTTTTTATTTTTTATTATCCTTCCATTTAGTTTATTTTGCATGTTTAATGTCTTATGGTACTTATTTGTGATGATTTTTATGTATAAGGCATTCGTGGGAAAGTGTTAGCAAAATATACTTAAAATAGTTTCTAGTATTTTTACTTTTGGATGTTTTGGGCCTTTTTCAGGTTTTTGACCATCTCAGAGTAAGATTTTGGTTTTTGGACCTTCTAAGAAGTTAAAGTAGACATCTTAAGCTTTCCATGTTGGGATAGCACGTCCAGAGACAACTTCGTTTGGGCCTCCAAATGCTGGTGTAAAGTCAGAGCTGAAAAGTGAAATTGAATCCTAATTGGAGCAGGATTTCTATAGGACCATTGGAGCTTCCAAAATTCAAATGAGGCGATTCAAAAGCCTAAATTGAAGTACCCATCCTGAACTACAATTCTTATGAATGGGCCGAAGTCTAGAAAGCTTATTGTCCTTTCCAAAACTGGCCTAGAATTTACTACTTCAGTCTAGAGGCTTTAATCCTTAGCTGATTTGGATTATTTTTGTATGGCTCGTATAAAGACTTGGTCCAACTTCAAGAGGGAGTTCAATACAAGTCTGGAGGGCTGGGAATTCGTGTGTCTTAGCTGGAAGTTGGCTTGCACGAATTAAGGACAGACTTGAAGAGAGAGAAAGACATGTTTTCCTAACAGGGTTTAGTTGATTGCCTTAATTTTTGGAGTTTGATTTTAAGGGGGCAGCCTTGTATGTTTCTTTGATATATAAATATAACTTTTAGGCGACTGGGGGATAGAGATTTGGAGACATAACGTAATTTTATTATCTTTTTCTTTGTGCTTTTCATCCCATCTTGTCTAGCAAAATTCTTTAGTTCGATTCAAGGAAACTCCAATCCAGTTAGCATAATTGTGAGACTTTGTTCTTGATCTTAGTTATTCTTTTATTTATATATTTGTGTTTCTCTGTTTTATTTATTAATGGTTGCATGATTTAATTGATTAAAGAGGCATGTTAATATATTGATTGTGTGATTGATTGCTAAACTAAATTTGTAATCTGTAATTGTTATAATATTCAATTAGAGTAGTAATTAAGCTTTTGTTGATTGCTTTAAAGAAACACGAAATTAATTAAATAATCTGACACTTGTTCGATTGTTATTCATTTTTAACTCCTTCCTAATTTATAATGCTATCAGTAAATTCATAAGGATTGCTTAATACCAATTAGTTTATTTATAGGAATTGATTTGTGTGTTGGGCTTAGATTAACAAACTTAGGGGAGGTAAAGATTTTTTGGCTTCTTGATAATCTTTGATTAAATATTCAATTAAAGAATAATATATATTAGAAGTCAGTGATCAGTATGTGACCATGGATAATTTTCCTTGAATCGAGATGGTCTTTGATTCAATTCTCTTTATTTAATTCCTATTATTAGTAATTATTCTGGTGTCAATTAATTTGTCAATTAATTTTTGAAGTAAAATTTCCCTTTTTTTAATTTACTGTGATATCAAATTAGGTAATTTGATTAACTAGTCTCTGTGGATCGAAGTATACTCGTTGCGAATACACGTTGTGAGTAAAGTAATTTAATTTTTTGTTGGGCTCGGCACACATCATCAATCAAACATGCCATGCTTCATGATTATATTAATATATAGAATATAGATAGGGTGAAATATTCTTTCTCATTCTCCTAGAGTAAAGGCTTATTTATTGAACCCATTAAATAGTGGAGACGACACACCAACCATAACCCTCGCCCCTTTTTTTTTTCTAAGAAAAAAAAAAGCCAACCAAGTTTGCTCTATATTTGAAGGGCCATTCTCTATTAGGCCCAAACTCACTCCCTCGAGTAGAAAGTGTTAGCCTCATTGATGCTAACCGAGGTCCAACCCAAGAAATAACGTTAACAATATTCATTGTATTCATCGAACATGCAGTTAAAAAATCTTGAATCAATAAATTTGTTACATTAAACAATGACAAGTGAAGGTGTACTGCATTAACTTCTTTATTTACATTAAAAAGATATTAGTTAATAAAATCAATAGGATCATCTTAATTCATTTCCATAAAACAAGATATTGATGAACTCTTATGGGGCATATGGTTCAGGAAATGTTATATTATTGGGAATGTTATATTAATTGGAAGATAGATTACCTTGAAGATTATTGAGAATGTTATATTAAATATGTTTGGTTAGATTAAAATAAATTGGTGGGTATAAATAATTAATATGTTTGTTTTGGAGGAATAAAAGAATTATGGGAGAAGCCTTTGCCCTTCTTTTTTAACATTATTATTACATATTATATTATTAAATATGCCGATCGTTATGTTGATTGGTTTCCATATAGGTCAGCTATCATAGTTTCTCACATGCATAAACTCTATAATCAATCTTCTGGCACCATCTCTAAGGTCTAGTAACCCTTTTGAAAATTGGATTTGGTAACTCATCAGGTGGATTCTCAGTCTCAAAATCTCACTATGCTGATTGCTTGTTTACAAAAACAAATTGATCAACTCCATCAGGAATTGATGCACATCGCTAGCACCTCTCATAGCCATTCAGCTCAATTTCTCCAAAGGAAGTAGAAATGAAGTTGCAAAAGGGTTACTAGACCTTGGAGATGGTGCTAGAAGATTGATTATTTATGCATGTGGGAAACTATGACAGTCGACCTATATGGAAACCAATCAATATAATGATCGGTCGAATTTATGGTTAAGGCCCTCCTCTTATCCCACACACGCTACACACTCACGCATCTTCTAACATCATCTAAAAAAGCTAGTAAAAATAAACACATTGTGAACATAAACAAAGATAATATATGAGATTTTTTGTCATTCTTACCATTATTAGAATATTACAACACCCTTGAGGTTGAAAGAAGGTTTAAAAATATGAAGGAAACATGAAAGAAATGTGCAAGAGAGAAATATGAAGAGAGAAATGTAAGAGCAAGAGAAATATACAAGAGATTTTTCCACAATGCCTCCTCCCCAACGGGAAGAGAAGTCTCTTTATTTATAGAGAAATACAAGACCTCACATTTAATACACATTAAAGAGATATTTAAGACATGGCTTGACATATTTGACTTTTTGGAATTTTTTTTTTTTAATTATTAACCTTGCCTATAATATTTTACTCTTATATCTTACATGGGGGATATTACACTTGAGTTGGAAAATTACCATTTAGTCCACATCTATTTTACAAATAAACATAAAGGACATAAATATTTATTTTAAGACACGTAGAGCTTTAATCTTCTGATAAGTTTGTATTGTGCCACAAGTCTTCATCTTGGAAATCGAGACATCCCATTGCTTAAATCCAATTAGTAGGAATTTGTCAAGAAGATGAATCTAGATGAATATCTAGAGAAATGTCTAGAGACTGAGATGGCTACCTTAGAGAGGTACTTAGTGCATGCATGTATTGCTGTCGTTTGGATTTATGAAGATAGTAATCATGAGACTATTGAAGCTCTTTTTTTTGCATAGTATCTAGCTAAGAATCTGGGTACCACCATTCTGGATAGTCTAAAGTGTCATTTAATTAAGCAGTTATGGAACTCATGCATGTTTGTTTGGCCTAGAGTAATTTCTTAGTGTACACTAGAGGAAAGTGTTCCCACGGGGCATCATAATGAAAAGATTGTCATATCTCATATGGAATCATCTGATTTTTCTCAAAAAGGGTCTTCTGAATTAACCTAATCTGAACAGGATTTTCAAACATATTATGGACGAGATCATATGGATAAGACCGATGAAATGTGACTTGATGCTGTGAAAAATATAGGCCATCGAATCTGATGGAGTGATGCTTATGAAAAAACATGATAGACCATGCCATTTTGGTGGACATAGGACCTTTGTATCGACCAAGTTTATGAGCAAACACAGACTTCCATATTTCCAAGGTTTTGAACCATTTCAGAAAAGTTATCAAATGGTGTAACTCAGAGGTCGAGG